TGTTAGATTGACCATGCTGGGAAGAGCCTGCGGCTGTACAGAGTGATCAGTGGGAGAAGAAGCAGCAGATAACAGCATGGATGACTGGCCAAGGCTTTGGTGGAGCTTTGACAGTTTATTCAAAAAGTGGTTGAAGCCTCAATAAAACAGAGGCCATTAAAATTCAGGCGATATGTTGATACCACTAAATATTTCTCCGTTTTATTCTGTTATAAACTTTTAAAAAAAGCTGCTACTTTAATCAGATGCTTTCTACAAATCCAGATGTGAATGTACACATTATGTATTTTAGTAAAGCTTTGTTTGGGATGTGGTTAAAGATTAAAGACTGTATATCAGGACAAGTGGTTTGTTTACAAAGAGGTTAAATAATATTTTAAACTGTTTGCTTTAGATAGACTCTTATAAGATGTTTTCTTGATGGCAGTCAGTGTTAGCTTTACTACTCTGTTTGGTTTTAGTTGCTGTTTCAAGATGAGTATTGATCCTCATGTTGCTAATATTAAATCTGAGTGGCTGTTTGATTGACTTAGATATGGTTTTTACATGATTCTTTTTGACCGTTTGCTTGGCTCGTACAGTATAAGCAATTACTGGCTAGGTTTTATTAACCATCAAACTGCAATTGCAAAAATAAATTTGCTGAATGCCTTTTATGATTTGGGGTCACACCAAATTTTAGGTCACACCAAAATTTCCCAAAAATGCAATGGATAATTTATTTTTCCCCCATTGCACAAGTCATGTAATCAGCATGTCAATCTTGTAAAATGACGAAGAAGGACACCAGAACTAGTTAAAGGATGATAGCATGGCATATTTGGATTCCGCTGGGAGTTTTAACTACATTTAGTTTGCAAGGATGAGCACGAATGAGCACAAGAGCTGTGACTGAATTACGGATACATCTCATGTGGTTTTCAAAATTCTGTGTGTGAACAAACATATATACAAGCTATTTAAATTGTATTTATTACTTAATAGTGTGACGGCTGTCGCCATCATATTTGTGTTTCACTTTTTTCTTTATTTTTCCTCTTTCTCACCTGTGCTCTCTGTGTTTTATTAGCAAGAATCCCCTTTGTTTAAATCTGTAGTTAGGCACAATCCTCTTTTTGAGGTTCTCTTTTATTTAACTTTGTAATTTTCACAGCATCCTCATCCACCCTCCTTTTGTGTGTTTATTGCTTGCACCTCTTGTTATCAAATAAATCATAATTTTAGAAGAATTTACCAGTTTCTGCCTATATGTTTATGCTCCCACTCCCCTAGACCAACAGGGAGTGGTAACAATAGAAATACCACAGTTGCGAAAATGGGCATTTTCAAAATATGTAGAATATCAACATAGCTTTGTGCTCATTTGTATTGTAGAGGAAGGGCAACTACTATCATATCCACAGCACATTGGGAGGTTGTCTCCGGTACTTTCTCTTATTTCAGGGTGGGACCTGTGGGTGTGGTCTAACAGCTGGAGCTGATCAAGGCTAATCAGGAGCGATCATGTTAAAGAAAGGCAGATTCTCTGAGGCAGGTGAAAAATATATTTTTTTCATCTCAGTGGTAATCAGGCTTCTTGCTCTTTGTGATATGTGTTTCTAGATGTTTTGAAAATTACCTTCATATTCCAAAAAGTACATGCTCTGATCAAGGACTACAGTGTTCTCCCCATTCGTTCCTAATGTTTTTGGGGGAACTAATCTTAAACTATAAGGATCCGTTGTAATACCAAAGAAAAGTCAGAATTTTGTGCTGCCATCAGGACATATCAGTCCAAAGTCTTCTCCAACTTTTTCGGGTCACCTATTATGGGTAAAAAAGCAAGAAAGTTCTTTGGGACATTAAAACATTCATTTTATTTTGGTCAAACCAAAAGGATTCTCAATCCTGTGCTTCCTAATTTAACTCCTTTCCTCCGCTTCCACTTTCTCTCCTCTCCACCCTTTTCCTCTCTCCCTCTGCTGAGCCTTTTATGTTCAGATCAGAGAAGCCTTCCACTTATCATAGGAGTCTGAAGAGGCTTTCTCCTAAAAGCTGGCATTATATGCCTGATTTACTGAGGCAGACACACAAAGTGTGCTCTATCTCCCTGTCTTTCCTATTCCTTAGGATATCCCCCTCTCTTCCTTTTCTCAAATGCATTTTCCCCATACTGAAAATAATGCCACACTCAGTCTATTTTAAACATACACACACACTTCAGCATATTGGCAGGCCTCCGCTCTTGTTCTGTCACAATGGGATTAGTGGTGTGATTCCTCCACTCCTTTTAAGTGGGCGCACTACCAATCCACTTACGATGGACTCTCCTGAATACTGAATGGACTGAAGAGGAGGGGATGAGAGAGAAATAGAAGTACCAAAAGGAGGAAGAGGGAAAAAGAGGCTAAAATAGGAAGATGGAGAAGAAGAAAAGCAGAAGAGAAAGTCACTTATGATTAAATATGTGCTCTTAAACTGAACTATTTTCATATCGGGGTAAATCAGAAGCTTAAAAAAGGAGGATAAAGAAAACTGGCTGCACACTTCTTGGCAGAGTTGATGTATTGACTGCAGACCTGTTGCCTGGGTGACCAGAGGCAGCAGAGGCCCCACCTTCCCCACTGTGTTTCACAGAGTGATGTCATCAATTGCCGGTGGCGCCGGTCAGGACCTCAGCCAATTGGACAAAGGAACAGGAGGACGCAGAGTGTATTTTTTCACAAATTTTCTTTATACTCTTTCAAATTCTTCCTGTCATCAGCTGCTCTCTCACTCACCCTGATTTATTTTTTAAAGCCTAGTTTTCTTTTGACTTATTCAAACCACTCAGCGGGCAGCAGACAAGTTCTGTTTTTTTTTGTTTTTTTTCCCCTTAGAAATGAAGCTAATTTAACTGCCCTGAAGAACTTGTGACAGCAGGACACGCTACAGTGACCATAAATGATTATCTATTTTTTGTAGATAGCTTTGAAGGAGGTCATTTTTCATTTTTTAGGTACTTCTTGAGAAACATTGTACACAGCATTAGGCTATAACACAGAACAGAACACTAGAGATCAGTTCGAGTGTCTCAATCTCAAATACTGGCTCAGGCTATCAACAAAGGCCATTTTTTGTTGTTGTTTTGTTGTAATCAAAGTTCCTGAGTAAACTTTAGTCTTAGTCTCTACGTTTGTTGACTTTTGGTATCCATAGGTAGTCACAATCAAGACTGTCTATGGAAACCATCTCAAAAATGGGGCATCCATCAGCCACCTCCTGTACAACCATGACATCAAGCATGCTAAGAATGAGCGAGCCATTGACTCACTGGTCCACACCAGGATTTACAGCAGGACCATTAGAATGTCATACGAGCTGGAAAAATGGATGTTGACAGAGAGAGGGAAGGTTATCTATACAATGGGCATGCACTCCCAGAGGAGATGATTGAATAGATCTAGAATAGAGCTACAAGTACTTTGAAATACCACAGGCAAATGGCAACTATGAAGAGGTCATAAGGAAAGCAGCGACAGCCAAATAACTGGAATGATTGAGGCAAGTTCTGAGAAGAAAGCTTAATGGTAAGGTCCAAGCAATCAACAGCTATGTCTTGCCAGTAATCAGACACCCTGCTAGGATAATGCATTGGCCTAAGGAGGAAATTCAGGCCATTGATGTTAAAACATGAAAGCTACTCTCCATGCATGGTGGATTCTAACCCAAATCCTGTAACCACAGACTATACGCAAAGCGCAAGGAAGAAGGAGAGGTCTAGTGAGCATCAGAGCCACCATGGAAGATCAGAAACATCCAAGTTCCAAGAATATATCAGGAAGATGGCCCCAAGGGATGAAGCACTCAGTGAATGTCTCAGGGAATGGAAGCTTAAACAGAATAAACTAGAGGAACCTTTATGGGAGGAAAAACCCCTGCATGGGAAACACCACCGACAGATAGCTGAAGTAGCTATGACCAATTCCTACCAATGGCTATAGAGGGCGGGGCTCAAGGACAGCACAGAAGCAGTGATGTTATATATATATATATATATATATATATATATATATATATATATATATATATATGTATATATATATATATATATATATATATATATATATATGTATATATATATATATATATATATATATATATATATATATGTATATATATATATATATATATATATATATATATATATATATATATATATATATATATATATATATATATATATATATATACATTTATAACAGAAAACATATATATATATGTATATTATACAAGTTCTTACTTTAAATTTACTGTTTAGAATTATGAGTGTGTGTATCCACAGGCATATCCATGTATGACCACAATATCAACACAAATCAAAATACCAGCAATTGGAAGATACTCCCCAGATCAGAGCTTAATATGAATGGATGCATCATTCAGAATTAGCAGAACATTTAATCACATTCATATTTATACACATTATTTGCACTTTGCATAAATTCATTATCAAAACCATTCCATAAAAAATACTGTACATGCTGATTTACACACAAGTGTTGCAGTCACATGGTTGCATTAAATTATTTTTCATTATTTTGCATTATTATAATTATTATATTTTTTTTAGCTTTAAGCATCACCAGAGCAGTTTTAAAGTGTACTAAGTCCATAAATTTCATGAGTTTTGATTTAAATAATGTGTATGTTCCCAATACCAAACATTTTATATCATCCTTAATGCCATTTTTTGTATAGTAAATACTTTTATAAAGAACTTTCATATGTGATACTCCAGACTTCAACACAGTATTATATATAAAGTATTATATGCTGTTTATTTTATGTATTATGTATTCATGTATTAATATTCAAACATGAAGATGGGAACTGGCCAATTTGACTATATTGATGTCTATTAGCAAGATAACTGTTCAACCAGTTACTTGCTGCTACTTTCACTCTGTATATTTCCATTGTATACAGTAGTAGTGTATCAGCCACTGCATAATTTCTGTTTTGTATATATTCCATTATAGCTTCCATGGCAGTACAGGAGCATGCTTTGAGCACCGCAGCAACAGAGGCCAGATCTACCACACCAGGCAAGATCCCAGGTGCAGGCTATGCAAAGAGGCCCCAGAAACAATCCATCATCTCACAGCAGGGTGTAAGATACTGGCAGGAAATGAATACAAGGATCATCATAACCAAGTGGCTCGTATATTGTGCAGAATACAAACTGGAGTCCCCCAGGTCAAAATGGGAGCTGCCTCCCAAGATGGTGGATAAAAGAGCACATGGGGCACTAACCTCCAGATATGTGGAGAAACATCAGAGATCTCAGTCCAGAAATTCACAGTTCTAGGGACAGCAGAGATACTGCGAAGAACTCTCAAGCTCCCAGGCCTTTGGTAGAGGACATATTTTGGTAGTATGTATTTTGTTTATTAGGCAAGAAACCAACCTTTTTCTTAGTTGTTGCCAACAGTTAGGAAATAATCCTGAAATGTGTTAAAAACTTAGATATTGATAATTCACACTGTTCCTTTCTTTTCATTAAGCTGTTGTTGGCTTTCCTCTTCACCAATCCCCTGGCAGTCTTCCAGGTAACAGCTATCAGATTCTTATTTCCACCACATTTACTGTAAGCAGGGGGGGGGGGATTTACCCTTAGGCATTACTAGACAGTTGCCTAGGGCCCCAAGTCAACTGTAACCCCATCCCCCCCTCATAAAAAGGTTGCTGATGATTGTGGCAACACTTTGGTTTTCATTAAACTTCATAAAGCACTCCAAATAGACAGAGTGCTGAACAAAAAAAAAAAAACTAGAACATATCTTGGTAACTGTTAAAACAAATGTGCTGTAGATATACGTGCCATTTTTTGGTCTATAAATGAAATCAGAAAGAGTGTAAATATCCTAATCAGGCATACACTAGACACTGACATCACAGACAATATAAGATGATGGTTTGTTTTTTGTTTTAACTGTCGACCTCTTGGTGTTTTTCTCTATTGTCCTCTCTTGCTCAGGGATAAATGCCCTTTTCCAGTTGCATTTACGACTGCCTGGTTAGTCTTTATTTGCTGTCAGACTCTGAAAATATCTTGTCAGAAGACATTAAGCCTTAGCCTAATAACTTTGCAGAGAGTCCTAAATAAAAGATTTGGTGGTTGTCTTTGTTCCTTGTGGTATATAAATTTAAAGTTTATTAAATGAGAAAAAATAAATTATTGTGGATGTGGTAAATTAGCAAAAGTGCTTCTCTGTTATATGTCAACTTGGAGTTTAGCATGCATGCACATAATCCCCTGCTTCTTCATTACCCCATTTCATTCCAGTATGTCTTCATAATAACCTTGTTTTTCATGTATTTTTTCTGTGTGTGTGTTTTCAGTTTGCTGTAATATCATTTCATTCTAATCAAGTGCTGGCTTCTAAGGCATTACCTCGTGTTTTTGCCTTTCTTTTGTCACAAGGGAGAAGTATAGAGAGAGCCGTTGTTCTTTCTTGGCCGAAAGCTGCAGCCTGCAAGGATGCTTTGTTGCTCATAATAGCTTTTTGCAGACAAACACAGACATGAGTAGATTAGAAAAGATAATTTGTAGGTTTGATGTCAGTAATGCAACCTGCTTGTGTGTGACTAAGTGTGCAGCAGGTCAGTGAATGGAGCCTCTGAGGTGAGACTGATGGCTAATTATTTTGTTGGAAATTGGAAGCATGTGGAAAGTAGATATGATAAATGTGGAGGTTAAATTGTCAGATATATACCAGCGGACATTGCCTTTATAAAAACCACACACAAAGTGCAGATTAGCACACCTGTTATATGAATTTTCAAACTCCGACATCTTTTTTTAATGGGCCTGTCACCTACTGACACTTTGAGGAGTTTCCCCATCACACAGAAGTGTATGTAGCCAAGTCTTTATTGACCCTGCATACCTGTTTTTAACCTTGTGTGCTGTCCATTGTGGACCGTCGACTGTTTTTTCTGCAAAACAGGAAGTTAATAAGCACAGAGGATTCCGGTCTTCTATTTTGAAAGTTAAAAAGGGTGGGTTAAAGTTCAGTAGACTCTCTCTTGTTGCTTGCATTATATTCATAGCATTTAGAATGAAGTCAGTTTAAAAGTATAAATCAAAGTATGGCAGAAGCAGAAAGTTGTTGATTTGACAGGTTTCAACTCAATTGTTTTAATTTTAGCCATAAATATGTTTCTAAAATACAGAAAGGGAAACATTCATCAGTGTTATTTGTATTAGAAGGTGTCCTTAGAAACATTTTGTGGATTTAATGTCATTAATGCTACAGATGGACCCAGTATTCAAGGCAAGTCAGACAATGGGAAGTTTCAAAATGTTTAATGACAGAAAAATATTACAACAGAACAGACAAGGATGCGGCTGCTGAGGATAAGCGAGCTGCAGTGGCTGCAGAAGACAGACGCTCAGATGAAGATAGGCAGGCTCAGTGGTAGAGAGGAACATAGACAAGACAGAGCACCAGCATAAATGCCGGACTTTAAACTGGTCTGCTCCAAGGAGCCAGGCTTACTGGACTAAAACTGGCATACGGGACTAAAACTCTTAACCAGCATGAATAACTGACACAACAACATAATGAACTAAGAATACACAAATAAACTAAGAAATACGAATAATGATCTGGCAAATATCAAAGATGCTCACTTACTTCACTCCACCAGATTTTATTTTAAAAACCTTCTTCAAAAAGTTATTAATTAAAGCTTAAATTCTATTCAAATAATCATAACCCTTGTGAAAATAGTTTACCCCCTCCTTGCTATGTTATACATCAACTTTGGTTGGATAAAATTATGGCTCAGTTTTGCAAGCCACAAGGAGCTTTGATTGCAGTCTGTAAAAGGAAAAGGAGCTTAAACAGATCCTGTTTGACAATCTATAGAAGGGTAAAATATTTGAAGAAAGCAACACATTATTCTCTGATCAAAAATAGATGGAGAACAGCCTAACCTTAAACTCAAGTCCACTGTGATTATTCAGCATATTCACCTTTAAAAATAGTAACAAGTTGAAAATGTTGGGGTTTTCTTGCCAGAGTACTTAATCGAGTGAATGGCCTTTAATAGGTCATTTATAACCTGACTGCGCCAGATGGATTTGCTCTGCATATCCATCTGGAAACCTTCGGTTGAAGTAATTTTGGGAAGGGGCGAAAATACTGGTTAGCTTATTGGCCTATGTTGGTGATAGACGGGCCAAATAAACCAATCAGATCAATGAAGCATATGACGTACTAACTGCCAGGCTACTCTTGCCGAAACCAGTCGGGAGAAGAGCAAAAACTCTTTTCCTCTGAGAAAAGCCTCCAGAGCAGTGTTTTGCTGTTCTTTCAGTGAAGAAATACTCTGTAATTCCGATAAAACTTGCTCGATAGCCACGCTAACACTAGTTTCATCAGCTGAAGCCGCCATGTTCTCTAGACTGAACTGTCACGCTTCTCGTTGCGTCACACCTCAAAGCCAACGCTGATTGGACGTTTGTTTAGTGAACGGCTCCAAATTTACTTCAACGGAGAGTCTCCAGACTGATTAACGAGTTAAATCTTGAAAGCTTGTGAGATCAGGATAGTCTCTCGAGGCTAGGTCATTTACGCTTAAAAGCCCTTAGATCAAGACAGACAAGGGTCGACAGATTAGTCACATAGTTAGAAATATTTATCTGTAACTCTTACTTTAGTGAGATGTTAATTTTTTTCCTTTGTATGTTTAGTTGCAAAATTTCTTCTGCAAAAGTTACCCAATAAGCTCTGACATTTCACATTTTGGACTGACTGAACCCTACAGCTGTTAGTTAATTATAATGTTTTATCCAATTCAATATCTGATACCCCATACTGATACAAGTCAACTATTGATTGAATGAACCATGCATTTTGCTATGTGAGCAAAGGCTTTAGCCCTGACATAAACATTATTTACTTTTTATTATTATATTATGATATTATTATACAAATAAGCAGCAAAGATAAGAAATAACAGTTCAAATTAAAGTGTACTGGGGTGTTCTGGCAAGAATAATAAAAAAAAGTGTGTTTTTTCAGTGAGTATTAATACTTTAAAGCTACAGTGTGTAATTTTCAGCGACATCTAACGTCCAGACTGCAGACCGCAGCAACATGAACGTCTCCCCCCCACCGCTTCTCCCCCCCAACAGTACGGCGAGCGTTACGGGACAAAATGTCTTCCACGACGTCCGCATCACCTACCTTCTCAAGTGATGAGGTTTGTTTACATAGATAATTTTACAGATAGTATTTCATTAGTCTGTGTAGGGTATAGATTTCATGTAGACTTTAGATAATAAATATACCCGTTATTTTTTCTACGTCGTTGTGACGTTTTGGTGAGCTGCTTTGCATGGTGATATAAACAGACAAAGTAATTGTAGTCATTAGTTTAACAGCGAGATTGTGTTCGCTGGAAGAATATATATTCCCCGTTTACAGAGTCCAAGTCATGTTTGTGGCACGGGGGTTACAAGGCGAGGAAGAGGGGGAGGAAGAGGGAGAGGGCGAGGGCATGCAGCTAGGGCCAGGCGAGAGAGGGGTGCCAGCGGGAGGAAAGGCTTGAAGATCTCCAAAGGAGCCGGAGAGAAGTAACCGAGGTATATATCCAGAAAATTATTTTACAGAAAATTACTGAATCATTACCTGTGAAACGTCAGGGACGTTGCTGAATAAGTATACTGGAGAGTAACAGCATCATCACGCAGCATGTTATTGTTTTAGACAGGTCTGAGCATCCTGTACTCCAAAAACTGCAGTGATATTAGACAATTGTGTGTGTAGGATTAATTACCTGTCCAACAGAAAACTGGCAACTTGAGCGTCACTTTGAAAACCTTTTTCCTCCATCAGTGACTTCCATCGTGTAAATGCCGTGCCAATGTTGATCCGTGTTTTTTGTCGTTTCTTGTCACGCTTGCGTTTATTCTCGTCGTGTTTCCGCTTCTTAGATGACGGGGGTTCGGTGTCCGCCGCTTTTCGTTGTGATACAGAGTAGGCATGATCCTCCATTCGTCTGATGTTTGGCCACACAGTGCCAAACAGTTTGCAAAGTCACTCACGCCTGCCGCCTTGTTCGCCTTTCTTGTTACTGAGGCGCAGTATACCTGCTTCTTCTTCTTCTTTGGTTTCAGGCAGACTAAACGCTTCTCAGGCATAATACTGCCATCTACTGTTCAGTACCGTCTCAGTTCATTTCTCTCAACTTGCCGTAGTTATTTTCGAGCGTAATGGGAGATCTCGCAATCGCTAGTTTGTTGCCTCTGCGCTTGCCGTAGCGCAAAGATGTCTGCCTCCATGGCTGCGAGACCCGCTCCTATGTAATTATAAATAACGAATTCTAAGGCAACGCAAATGTTATGGTTAAAAGGCTGAGCTCATAGGTGATGATAAATAACATAGTTATGTATAATATATTACATTTCTGACTTTATATCCCTGTAATAATTACACACTGTAGCTTTAAAAGAAGTTGAGCTGCCAAACTCATAGAAAGTCCCATCACCTGTAGCTTATTTCACACCCCCACAAGAAAACTCCAGAGCAGCACAAAGGCAAAGCAGGTATTTTCAGACTGATCATCAGGAGAGGAAGACCAAAATCCTTTATATTAGTTAGAAGATGTTTCATATAAATGTTCATATTTTGTCAAATAGAGTACATACACTATATTGCCAAAAGTATTTGCTCACCTGCCTTGACTCACATATGAGCTTAAGTGACATCCCGTTCCTAATCCATAGGGTTCAATATGACGTCGGTCCACCCTTTG